AAACTCATTTTGGTCCAAAAAGAAAATTTATTATAATACATATTAGTAAAAGTTTGTATTGAAATTTAGAACAAAAACTATATATGTATATAAAATGTGTACCTTTTCTATATATATATAAATAATTTTTTTCATGAGTGTTTAGTGTACTTGCATTCTCTATATATACATACATATATATCTCGATTTGAACTTAAATTGTTGTCTTTGCATAGCTGGAGATTTTCTATTTTTTGGTTAAAGCATGCATTATTTTGTGCTCTATATAGTGTACCCCATATATATATTCATCTATATATATATAACATATGGCACATGACACATGATATATGACCTATGATATATGACGTATAACATTTCCATAAACATATACGAGAACTATTTACATATTTGTATAATTGATAAATTGCTGTGGCGCACCTTCATAATAAGAAAAGGAACTGCAAATGCGCACCCAAAAAAAAAATAAATAAATAAATAACTAAATAAATAGAACATGTTGCTGTTGGCATTGAGAATTGCAAAAATAATTCAAATTCAGATAGAGCAATGACTAGAAAAAATGTCTATTGAAAGAAATTTCACATTCAATTTAACAATTGTTAAAAAAAAAATAAATAACTAAATAAATATTTTTTACCTATCATAGGGTATTTTGCTAGTCGAGCCGACCGACGAAGAACTCAAATTAAAATTTTAATTACATAACGGAAGCAAGTCAATTAACGGTGTAAAGTTGGGCGAACCCAAAAGTGTTTGAGCAATCACAAACAAAATGGCCGACACTTTAAAAGCTTTCACCATTAAAAGTTTTTTCTACGAATGTCAGAAAGAGACAGAGAAAAGGAGAATGAGAGCGAGAGAGAGAGAGGGCACAAAGGCTATCAGCGAAGTATAAGCGGATATTGTGAATTATTGTTTACGATGACAAATCACCACAGGGAGTTTATCGCACAAAGTGCAAAAGAGGGCGTGGCAAGTGCAGTCTATAGAAGCATGACTACAGCTAGAGCCCAAAAGGCATTAATCTTTGATGCAGCCGTACGCAGTGCCAGCGCCAAGAGTGCCGGGCCAACAATTCATGAGGGTCTACAAATTGTACTGATGTCCAATAAAGAAGCTGAGCAATGATTCCCTATGTGGCTTAAGATGAAATATGAGCACAAAGTGTAAAGGAAATTTATGTTGAAGTGCCAAGGCAATTGCAATTGCTTGGGCCAATGGAACAGGAACAGTTGGAATAGTTGAAAAGAGAATAAATAGTTTGATGCGTTGCATTAATAGGTTTTCAATAAGAGAGGGTTGATGTGCTTATTACACTAGTCTTGCCGATATATATGTATGTATGTAATATATATAGTATTCAATAAGATTTGCCATTTAATTTTGTATATCGTCAGGGCTGTCGAAAGTGTGGGAAGAATTTTCTAAAATATACGACAATTGTGTCTTAGCTTAGTTGAAGTTTTATTGATTTTTATATGTATTTGCATATTAATATATTTAAATATTTATTTTGTTTATATTTTTCTGCTACAATCCTTTGTTTTGTCAATTTAAGCACAATTCTAGTTGTTTTTCTTGAGTTTAGGATTTTGCTGCAATACGCAACGCATTAATTATGCATGCAGCTCGAATTTTACTTGCAAGCAGAAAGACTCAAGAGCAGAGACAGAAAAGGAAATACATATACACTTAAAGACAAAGAGAGAGTGAGAGAGACAGAGAGGGGAGAGTGAAACTGATAGCTGTGGCTAGTTTTTGGCTAAAATGCTTGCCATGTTCACACGTTGCACAGCCAACGGGGCGAAGAGTTATGCCATGTTTGCTAGCCAAACAAGACCACATAGTTTCAGGCAGGTAAACCTCATACAGCCATCGGAGTCCAGCCCAAGCACCCTGACCGTTAACTGCCGTTGGCTGTCATCATTTGCATAGCAAATATGTTTCTCTGACCAAAGCAAATGGCATACAAATACGAACATCTATATATGTATGTATATATTTATGTGGATATTCAATTGTATTTCGTTTAGTTATTATGTGAAAATTTGCCAACACTAGATGGAATTGTATTAATAATTCGTATTATTTATGCAAATGGCAAAAACAGCTACGTAATCACATATGCAACAGACTGGGCCATAGGGAAAAGCTCATCCATAATCGAGTTGTCTAGATTGTTGTTTGCTACGATTCAAGCCAAATTGTTGCTAACATTTAATGTTGGGGGCAAAACTATGTTTATCTGCTTTGGGCCTAACTTGATTTGCGTCTAATTCGATTGCAATTTGGGCAGACTAATCGTCTAATCGAATTGTTTGAGTCAGAAAAAAAAGGGAAATACATATGGTATATACATACACATACATGCTGATATCAAAAATTTGGTATTTTACCAAGTTATCTTAAAGTTATATTAAAGTCAAAAGCCGAAGAGCTATAAACATATATTATCTATATGTATATATGTATAATATTCTGTATGTTTGTGTATAACTCAATATTTCGCCGTTTTCCTTTCAATTGAGAATGCATAAATTTAATTAATTTCATGTTTCATGTTTTTTGTTTATATTGAACAAGTCTTTAAAATTGTTTTCAGTGCAAACAATAGGAGTAAATTATGCAAACAGTGATTGTGAAATATGCACTGATGCGTGGAACCGATAAACGAGAGAGTCAAACACTATTATAATATGTTTCAAAATATTTAAAGTATTCAATTAAATTATGCACTCAATCCAACTAGCAAAAAACAAGAATCAAAGTTCATTAAACAGATGAAAACTCTAGCGAGGGAGGAAGCAGGGGGGAGCTGTTTGAAAGCTGTTGAAACAGATAGCAAAAATAACAAACAAAAATTCAATTGCTGGGCAAAAAGCACGCACAAAAACCAAAAGCCGTAGGAATGGAAACAGCAACTGCATTTTGAGTTTTCCAGTTAACCTCAAA